TTAAAATTTATCTACGATTACTTTCATATTCAATTTAAGATCTTAAAAACATCAGCATGTAATTTTTTAATTATTCTTTTGTTCAATAGTGTATATATTACGATTTATATTGACAAGATTGTTTAATTGTATATATATCATCAATTATTTTATTTTATTTAAAAAATTCTTTTGTAATTAATAAGAAATATTAAAGTACAAATGTCGAGATTTGAAGAAAGAATTCATCAAGTATTTACTTAATATTCATATTCATTAAATATACGTTTGAATTTCTTTACAAGAACCATTCAACATTCAGCTTCTCATTTATTTTGAGTGTACGATTTACTATCTACGGATTTCCTGCTCATTGATTCAATAAAAAAAAAAAAAAAAAAATATATATATATTCCAATTAGTTGTTTTCTTGTCTGAAGATTTTTTTTTTTCTCATTGATTATTTAGACGAAGAGAGAAATGAACAAATAAATACTAAGCATGAATTTGAGGGGTTAACGAGTAGAGATGAGAATGAGAAGTGAAACTATAGGAAAGACACTCATACTAATCCACTCTCATTTCACATTTATTCTGATTCCGATCCCATATTCATCCTTATTATTCATTCGTTCATTTCTTTTCGTTGAAAATAATCAACGGGAAGTAAATTTCCATTCAAGATAACGAGTAATTGAAATATATTTTCTTTATGCCATCAATAAACAGGAAATCTTCAGAAGCAAAAATTATATTTTTTCTCATGAGAAAAACAAAAACACTAACAGATAGTAAATCGTGTAAACACACTCGTTTATTTCTCTTCAATACATTGAATTTCGATGTCATGGTATCATCATTTATGAATTGATCATTAATATTTGTTCAATTTTTTATTTTCTTATGTTTCTAAAATTTTCATCTCCAACTGTTTCACATGATGATTCATTTTATTTTCATAAACATAAATAAATATATTATAATATTAAACTTCGAACTCTTTCCATCTCGATCATCTGAATAACTTGAACTAAAATTTTATAACCTCTATACTCATCATCATCCATTATTATGATTTATCAAAACACTTCAAAAACAAAAACACAAAAATATACTACTTAAATTCCTTTTTTTTTTATTTTTTATTCTTCTCAAATAGAAGTCACACACAGAAGAAAAAAAGAAAAAAAAAAAAAAGAATTTTTGGCTGACAAGATCATGTTCTAATGAAAAAAAAAAAAGAAAGAAGAAAAATTTAATTTGACGCGTAGACATTCATCTTTCGTTGTTTATTACTGTCTAGCCATATAGATCGACTTCATCCAAATGTATTTAGAAATCATATATATATATAGACCAAAAAGAAAAAAAAAACGAATAAATCGACCGATTATTCTGTCAAATGCGTACGCGAACAAAAAACTTTTTCATTTATGTTGAAATAGAAAAAAGAGAGACAAGAAAGAAAAACCAAACAACTGACAAAGACGACAATAAGAAAAAAAAAATGAACTATATATGAATGTATGATAGTTATAGTAAATATATGAATATATATATATAAAGAGAGAGAGAGAGAGAGAAAGAGAGCGAGAAAATGCGTATGCGTACCAAAAGAAAAAAAGATGATTTTGATTATATACAAAAGACGAATGATGTCTACGTTGTTATAATTTAAATAAGATTATGCAACCGGTAGGGAAAAAAGTATAAGCCAAGGTTGAAAAAGCAGTGTGTGTGTGTGTGTGTATGTGTCTTAATTTAAATTTAATATATAGAAATAATCGTTGCACAGGTTTACATAGGTTTTTTTCCATCTTTTAATAAGGCTTCTCTCGCACCAGTATTTGCACCACCTCGTGGTGGTGTTACTGGACGAGTATTATTTAATGATGGTGTTTTGGCTTTCTTTTCGGATGGTTTTAAAATCTATAACAAAGGAATAAATTATTTTTTTAATAAATAAAAAAAAAAATTTCTTTTATTTTTTTACTTGAAAACTACACATAAGTGTTTCATCAACAGACATCATCGCTCCGGCATTATCAAATTCACCACAATAATTTGGTGCTGAAAATAATGTAACTAATTGACGTTTAGCAAAAAACTCATAACCATCTTCAACAACCTTAAATTTTCAAAAAAAAAGATTTCTTTTTGTTTCAATATTATTAAAATAAAATAAGCAAACTTGATGAGCACGACATATAAGATCAAGATCATGTTTATGTAAAAATTTCGATACAATTTCTGCTCCAAATGTAAATGATACACCACGATCATTTTCTCCCCAACCATTAACTTCTTTATCTGGATCAGACCATAATAAATCACATAATAAACCTTGATCAGGTACATCAGTTGGTCTCATTATTCGTCGTATTTGTTCCATAGATTGTAAATCTGGACTTAAACCACCATGACAACAAAAAATTTTTTCATCTATTATTGCAGCAACAGGAAGACAATTAAAACAATCAGTAAATGTTTTCCATAATTTTATATTATAACGTCGTTTACATTCATCATAAAATCCATATATACGATTTATTGATGCACATTCATGATTACCACGAAGAAGAAAAAAATTTTCAGGATATTTTATCTTTTCAAAAAAAAAAAATATGAATTATTTAGAATTCTAATAAAAACAAAAAAATTAAGAAACAATTAATCAATTACTTTATAAGCTAATAGAAGACATATCGTTTCGAGTGATTGTTTTCCACGATCAACATAATCACCAAGAAATAAATAATTAGATTCTGGTGGAAAACCACCATATTCAAATAAACGAAGTAGATCATAATATTGACCTAAAAATTTTAATTTTTTTTTCTTTGATAAAAAAAAGTTCAAAGTATATATTTAAATTGCCTACCATGAATATCACCTAAAAGAAAAAAGCAAGATCAATTAATTTTTAGAAAAGTTTTTTTCTTTGCGTACCGCATATTTTAAGTGGTGCTTCAAGTTCAAGTAAAATTGGTTGACTAAGAAATATTTCTCGTGATTTTAGACATAACCCACGTACTTCATTTTCACTTAAATGAACATTTTTATTGGGTTTAGCTCCACGAACTAAAGTTAAAAAGTATTAAAAAAAAACAAAACTTATTGTTATATATTCGAAAGATAAAAAAAAAGTTTGTTTGTTTGTTTTTTTGATATATTACATTCAAGTAATCGTTGAATAATTCCATCGATATTTAATTTATCTTGTTCGTTTGCCATTTAACCAATAACAAAAAGGGATATAACAAGAAAAAAAATTCTTTGTGAAACAGATGAAATAATAATACGTTCAGGATGGGATTGAGGGAGAAAATATAAAGATTTTAAATAATAATTGATTTTTCTTTGTTTTTTTCAATTAGTTTTCACCATTTTTCATATGCTATGAGATCTTTACACACGAATGACAGGAAACAATACGTTCGTGATGTTGTTATCTATAAATTTATAAAATAGAATGATGTCGAAGACAAGAAAAAACAACATGTAGCCATTTCGAATAGTATCGATACTCTGTTTTGAAGACATAAAAAACAAATCGACTGTCTCTGTCTATTTCGAAATGACTATTGCAATTGATGACATTTATTTTTCCATCAAAAAGAAAAAAAGACAAGAAGAAAAATGAGACAAAAAAATTTCTTTATTTGATTTTTTTTTTCGTTTTTTTTTCTTTGTTTCTGTTTGAATTTAAGTTATTAATGCAGTTGAATAAAGATCATTGTAGAGAATAAAATTATTGTTTTGATTGGTTATTGTATAACCAATTGTTTATTTCACTTTTTTTGTCATTCATTTGCTCTACTGTTTATTTATTGATATTTCTATGGATTTTCATAGTAGCGGATCTAGGATTTTTATGATGAGGGAGGAGGGGGCGGAGAGTGCTTCGATAGGAATAGGGGGCGATCATGATCATAAAATGTGTTTTGACGTTCATTAAAAATAGAATCAACTCATTTTAAAGCTTTTTCTACTGAGAAAATTCTTTTGGAATTAGAGTGATCGCCCTAAATACTTCCTCTAAATCCGCCACTGGCTTTTCAATCGTGTTTTTATAGGAAAAACTTTAGGTGTTAATAAAGACAAGACTCGGAACAATTGTTTCAGCATACGTATCATATGTGTTTTTATTTTTTTGTCTAAAAATTTTCTAGAAAGAGAGAAACACAATGGCAAGAATCCTTGTAAAAAAATTTTAATCGAAATTTTACGGAGGAAATTCTCAGTGTAGCAATGTCGAGTAAGGAAATTCGATGTAAAGTAAATTTTCAAAGATATCTTTTTATTGGTTTTGTTGCACTTTTGTTTTCAATTTATTTTTTTTCTTTTTCTGGATTCTTTTCATACGACAGCTGTTGACTATAGAATCAGAATCAAATAGGTATTGTTTATGTTCTGGAAAAAAAAGGCTTTTGTTGAATGTGACGGCAAGGAAAACTTTTCGTATTCTTTTTACATACAATATCAGACTTACTGAATTCTTTTTATGTTAGATAAGTTCTTAATAGTTTCATAAAGTAGTTATCAATTTACTTGTCATCTATTGGAGAAAAGCAAGGTATTAGTAATGAATTTGAAATTCGAGATGAGAGTATAATATTTTATATTTTAAGTCGAGATGAATAAGTTAAAATAATAGTCATGTTAAACCAGAGTTGGCTCAAGGCGACCAATATCAGAAGTGGAGAGTGTAAACGGGTTTTTTTTTCTAACAGAACGCACGAAAATTTTTCAATTCTACCGGAAAAGAACAAAAAGATTTCTTAAGTGAGGGGCGAACTATTACAACCCTCTTCTCCTATGGGCTCGTTTCTTACTAAACTGATTGTAATAGTTGTGTTTTTGTAAACATCTGAGTTTTTCATATATATCGTAATTTGAAAATGTCAAATCTTTCTTCGTTTTTGAAATAAAGAAACAAAACTTGATACAACAATTGCACAAAATTATATTCTAATATGTCTAAGTTATGTTCTATTGGATGCTTATTTTTTGTCGTCTAGATGGATGTCATATTAACAACTGACAATATCAATGAGCCGTAAAATTGAAGATTTTTTATTTTAATTGAAAATTAAATTTTTTATTTTTAGTACAAAATTCGAACATTTTCCACCTGAAATTTTTTATCTTATTTTTGATTATTTAAATGGTGATGATATTCTTAAATCATTTTTATATCTTAATATACGTTTTAATAGTTTGATTAAAAACCTTCGTCTAAATACAATTGAAATTTCAACATGGACACGACGTGAAATAATAAATTTTTTTAAAAATTTTCTAAATTATATATCAACATATAGTCTTTCATTAAAATTAACAAATAAAATTTTACAAGATGATTCTTGTTCAGCAAATATTGAATTTATATTTTCATCATTACTTGATTTTAATCAATTAAAATATCTTATAAAAAATTTACAACAATTAATATTAATACGTCCAATTATTGATACAACAATTTGTTTACCTGATATTATTCTACAATCATTTATTATTTATTCATTAAATGATAAAATTATTTTAAAAAAAAATATTTCACATAATAATATTAATTGTATTATGATATGTAGTAATGATATAATGAGATCATTATTAGTTGATAATGGTGGTATTTATAATCAAATATT